GTGCTGCCTCATGTTGCCCTATTATTAAGTCTAATGGTTTAATTTTCTACATGCATCCCAATAAAAAATTAAATTTTGGGTGTATATCGTGAAAGCTTTCATTTATTTTTAAAATATATGTATAAACCGATTTTTTCTTTGAATTATTTATTCCGGCGTTGTAATTTCTGAAAACAATTTTTTTCGTCTGCGAATTTGTAGAAATTCAATTCTGAAACAATTTGTAGAAATTTACAGAAAAAATATAGGAATAGGAAATGTAGGGAAAATTACGAAGGCCATGTGAGCCGCAAAAGCGCAGCATGAAGCAGAACTTATCCCACAAGAATTAAACACCGGCAACGCTCACTAGAATATCCGGTCCTTGTAGCGTCACCATTTAATTCTACGCTCACCATAAGTTGAAGTAATTGTGCTGGCTAATATGCCTAGAAGTGCATTGCTGAGCACTCGTTAAAAGGCGAGGAATGTCCACACGAGCGAAAGAAAGGGAAGCATCAGATACGAAAGGGAGGCATAAGATAAGAAAGGGAAGCATCAGTTAAGAAAGAGAAACATCTGAAAGAAAGAAAGAAAGAGAAAGGGAAAGTAAATTTCGCTGTTTCCAGCGAAATTTCTCAGTTTTATTGTCTTTTTTATTTGGAATGAATTTTTAAATGGTATCACTGCCCGTTCAAGCTTTTCATGGTTTTAATATCATTGTATTTGGAGGTAGTATAAATATATTTTTCTAATTTGACACTTTATTTAATTTTTTCATTTTTGTGTACCCATAATATATTGCTTCTATGCAGTCATTGTTGGCACAGCGCCTTATGTGGGTCATTCAAAGTTATTCGTACGGTAATACCAGTACAGCAAAGAGGGAAGCTTATAATACTGTACTGTAATACCAGTACAGCAAAGAGGGGAGCTAATCATACTGTACTGTAATACCAGTAAAGCGAAAAAGGGAGCTAATTGAGTTGGTAAATTCAGAATCACCGATGGGTATAATTAATGGTAATGCCTGCTCATATTATTATGTCTTCCATTAAACGAAATTTTTGACAAAAGGAGACAATCGTTAAAAAGGAAAACTTTTTCAGTAGTCATGAACTCGCGGCAAAAATAGTTTGTTTCCGTTGGTAATTAAATATTTCGGCGGTTAAGTATTGGAATAATTGCAAATAATTTCAAAACATTTAGCACACAACGCAGCACAACATCAATAATAGCTTTACCAAATTAAAGCATTAATGCAAAATCATTAGTTCCAGAAATAAGTGAAACGTAACTGGTTAACCCGTGGTTTTTTGGGCCTCATAATTCCTGTAATTTTGTATCCTTGTTATCCCATATCCCGTCATAGATAATCAAATTAATGTGATTAATTAATGATAAATCATAATGGTATCATGATATCATAAAATTAATGGTAATCAAATCAATCAAATTAATTCTTAAATAACATAAGAACAATTTCAAACACCTTTTTTGTGAGACGTGACTCCCATTTTACTCCTGTTTTAAATCTGTAAAAAATTTATTTGAGTCTATTAAATTGAATTTACGTCTATCAATTGAAATATTAAATTTTTGGTCCAATGTTTTCCTATTCTTCTATTAAGAAATTTCAGGCCTAGGCATTACCCAACACGATACGCACCCCAAAAGTCAGCTGTCCGATATTTGTGGTGCCACACACAAGTAAAACACATAAAAAGAATAATTTTAAGAAAAAAATGCATGTAAGATAAAAACACTTGGCGTGTTGGAGTAATGCTCAAAAATACTCAAAAATACATTTAAGATAATTCACATTGCCCCTCACCAATAACTCCGGGCCATTGACACACGCCACCTCCCCCCGCGGTGTCGTTGATGAGGGCTACTGAGGTGGTGTTCCCAGAGGGCAATGCTAGGGCAACATAGGGGGAAGCGTTCCCTCCCCAGCCCACCGCGTCAGGATATAGCCCCCCAGCAGTGTAGTCCCCAGTCCTGGGGGAATTCAGTTAGTGCGTTTGTTGTTGTACTACAATCAGCAGGTTATTTAAAAATTTTACAGGAATCCTGTCTCAATTAAACCTGTTTTTGAAACCTCGCGCTTTAAATCTCTGAATTCAAAATTTACGCCAAAAATAAATTTGTATTAATCATATTACGTCAGGAACTTTGTATATAGAACAAAAACGCAAAAAATTGTGCCTTGAAACCTTGAGCGTCACCGTATTACAGCATGTGAAGCCGTTGCTTATAAAAAAATATAAACAATATCTCAGAATTGTTTAAGTGGCGAAGGCACGCACTTTTCTTGAAGATTTTTTTTTCAAATTCTTATAAATCTTACGCAGCTCACCTGCTGTTGATGCCCAAGAAGAATGGTTGCGTGCCTGATGAGCCAGTGTCCTATGAATAATTGTGGGAAGATGTTTTAAGGTTAAAAGCGAAAGGTGCATTGGCCACTCATTATGTAACTTAATTCATCATCACACATCATGTATTATGTGCATGATGAGTTGTGTGAGTAACCTTGCGCTATCCTGAGCTGAGCTACCGTGAGAACTCTCTCAAAACACGTCGAAAAAGCCATGTTTACCAATGCAATGCAATTATTTTGATAACGAGTACAAAGAGAAAGCCTAAATTTCACCGCAATTCAACGCGAACAATGCTTCAACATTACAGCATTATGGTTTATCTAAATTATGTCACCTTCAGCGCGGTTACAAGTCGGCTGAGGACCGAGGCAGAGTTCGGGTAGGCGAGGCTGGAACCGTTGGCGTTACATGCAGACTCAGCGGCCTCGAGGGTAACTGAACTGGTGGTTATGGGCAAGTAGCATGCCCCATCTACCTTCTTGTACCCATCGGGGCAGTAAGCTGTCAACATGAAGAAGATGTTAGCGAATGATGTTTGTCATGAAATGTTCTACTCAAGTCTCATTTGATTGATTTGTAGAAGGAGTTAAACGTAGAGTTTTGCAGTCAAACGGCCTTTTTTGGATATAGTCTGCATTGAAATGACTTATATAAAAACACAACTAAAAGTAAACTCGTATAAATTCATTTAAATTAACATATTAATTGCATCTATGGTATAATTCTGTAAAATTTTTCTCCGGGAGATTGACGAAGAGAGAATTCTTGCCAGGAAATTGTGGTGAGGTGATGATGATAGTCGTATGATGAATAAAAGCTTAATTAAAGCCACTAAAAAATTCATCTATTTGGATGACTCAGATCAACGAAATTTGGGCAGTAAATTATAATAATCATATCATTATATACATAGGGTCTTAAATGTTTTTAGCTCCCTTTTAAAAATTCTTGCCCCTGTTTATAAATATTTTCGGTTTGACCTCGAGCTAACTTACAAAAATTATTCGTAGTAGAAATAAAAACGTAGTCAGAGAGAATGTATTATGAGGTGGATTGCGCATGCGGAATGAATCTTTTTTCCTAGAGATGAAAATTATGCATTTTATATCAGGTAATCGTTAGCAGTTATTTCAAGAGTTAAAACAAATAATCTCAGACAGGGTGCGCGAGGTATGTTGGCTTACGATAATACGATAACTATTCAAGGATTTGTTTCAAAATGTTTCCAACGTGCTGATCCTTTCAATCAATTCTTATCGTATACGTTTATATAAATCTAATGCTCTCATTACATTTCCTCAATGATTAATTCTATGGAAAAAGAAATAATCAATTTGAGGCTCTTGTCATGATCAAATGCAATACGTATTGATCATACATATGCTGGTTCCATTTGTTCATTGTTTTTGTGCCTTAGACATCTAAAAATTTTGTTTCGGGGATTTATAAGCCGATATTACGAATGAATTATTGTCAACGCACCAGGCCGCTGACAGGCGTAGTGGAGCGGGGAGTTGCAGGTCACTGGGTACGCGTTGCCTCCTTGCTGTGCTGCTAGGCACTTGTTGGTCCCCATCAGCTGATGACAGAGGTGACAAAATTGCAAATTAATAATTAAAGGTGCATTGCCCAGGTTTGTAATTTTTTGGCAATTTTGCAACCCTGTTATCCCAAATCATTTATCTCCGTAATCTTTAATTATTTTAATAATGATGTGAATGATATTTTTATTAAGCAATGACTTAAAAACACATTCTACATAGGAGCTAGGACTCCCATTTTACTCCCATTTCAAAGTAATTAAAAAGATTTTTGCCTCTTTGAAATTAAATTTGTATTTACTAATAGCATAATCAAATTTTAAATTTTTATACATTCCTTTCCTCCCCTTACTATAATCCATTCATATTCTCAAAATTAAAAATGAAATTTCAGTAGCAGTTAAAATCCCAATACGGTGAGTATCCAGGATACACGCCCATTATCCACCCTATATATTTATGGTGCCAGGTTTCCAACCTTTTCAACAATCAATGAGAAATCAATGTACTATCTAGCTAGCATATTATCAACTAGCATATTATATTACAGAAGTAAATTTTTATTTTAGGGTTGAGATATAAATATAATTGATATACACATTTTTTCAACAATCATCACAAAAATTATTTGGGACAAAATAAGAAAGCACGCAATTCTCACCAGTATTGTTGCTGATAATTTCCCTACTTCTATTAAAGTGAAGCGTTATGGCTGCTACACATGACTTATTGCAGTTAAATCCTTTAAAAACATCCTACACACGATGCAATTTTATAAGAAGACTCTAATAAATATTACCATCTAGAGGACCATCAAGTATTTTAGTATTTATATGCGAGGAGACGCTCTAACGAATTTTCATATTAAACTCGTTTAGATTAAATTCAATGAGTCTTTTTAAAATAAAATGAAATATTTTACTATTAGGCACATTTAAGTGAACATTTTAGTTTACATACATCAATATTCCATAAATTAACATTATTATGATCGTTATTAGACATGATGAATGTTAACGAAGAATTGCCTTCACGCACATTACAGGAGTTGCCGTCGGTGCAGTTGATGTTTGCCATCGTCAGGTTCAGCACTGGGTATGTCATGGAGCGACCCCTGGGCACGAGAATAATTCATTATTGATAAATTTAATACGAGAATTAATGTTATGTCACGAATATTAAACTGTAATATGAATTAATCGAATAAATAATTATTCTTTAGCAATTCATTCAGGATTTATTCACATCATTTAAAATTTTAAGAGTTGTATAATGTCAATAAATTGGGTACAATTAATTTATTTTATACCATCACTGTAACGCAGAAGTAAACGTATATAATAGTAACAATTTTTTTGAACAAAAATTAATTATGCCCCTAATCTCGTTAACTAAATTATTCAGTTATTCAATTTCTTTTCAATTTCGAATCATACAAAAATAAAAACCATCGCCTGAAATCTTTGTAAATTAAAAAAAAGGAATGATGGCAATTATTGACTTACAAATAGACTAATACGATTGGATAATTTAATTGAAAATATAAAATTGAAATAAATAAATTAAAAAAAAGAGATTGTAACGCACATGGTAGAGTGTGACGTGTAGTATTTCACGTTGGGTGCCGCCGGCGTCAGGTCCATCCCGTCCACTAACATCGCGACGCTAGCGTTCAGCTCCAAGCATCTGACGGTCAATTCAATTAAACTTATAGATTTGGAGTATAGTATAATAGTATTAGATTCTCCGTTAGTATTAATATTATCTAATATTAATACATCTAATAGTATTAGATTTTCGATTAAAATAAATAAAAAATACATAATTGATGTACCTGGGATACATTAGTTAAATTAGCAAAGTCTTAGGCATCTGACAGGAGATTCATTAGCTATATTAGCGTAGCTCAGGCATCTGACGAAGAGACATACTGTATCAGTTAAATTCTTCACTCGAAATGTTTTTCTATTATTCAAAAATGATCCCAACCTGGAGAAACATTTGATTTCTACGAAATAATCAAATAACCACGACAGTTTTGGTAAATTTCGTTACTAATTTTCAATGTAAATTTGAGTGTCAGACTGGTTGAATCCTGTGAACTTTAATTTATTATGAAGCTGATTTCCATATAATGGTGAAGCACACAATTCAGTCGTGTTTCAAGAATTAAATGATTTCAAAAAGCTCTAAATATATAGTTTATATGCCTCATTACAGAGCTGCAATAATCAAGCCAGAGAAGAACCTTTTGACTATTTATAGTGCATCAATGAGACTCACTTTACAGCCGCCTGATGCAAACCGGTGACGTTTGTGTCTGAGAAGTAGTAGCATCGTTCCTCATCGTAACTAGGGTGAAATTTATCCGGGCAGTGAACTACGAAAAGAAGCACGTTAATTAATCAATTAGGTGCCATATGAAGGTAATATTTATTTGATGAAGGAAAATGATAAGAAATGATGGTATAAAACTACAACAGAATGAAAGAAGAACTATGAGTCTTTGAAGACTCATATCAACTCATAGGAGAAAATTTCAATTGCGAAATTTAGAGTTAGTCAGATTAAATTTATCTGCCGACACTTTTCAGGGAAACATTCGATTCTAAAAGTAATCAAGATGAGTTATATTTATTTTAAAACTAACAATACCTTCTCACAAGAGCGCACATTATCGAGATTTAGATTTCAAATTTTTCCATACATGAAGCACCAATCAAAAATTTATTTTTTGTTGGAACTTTCCTGCAGTTATTCGAAATCAATGTTCATTAAAGCAAATGATCTTGATATGAAAATAATATTTATCATAAAATGCTCACTGTTGCAAGGCAGGCTGATGGTATCGTTCCATTGTAAGACCGTTCCATTCTTCTGGCAGAGCAAAGTGCCGCTGGATGTATCTGTTATGTTCTCAAGCATGAACTCGCCGATGCAGTGCCACTTGACGATGGAGGTCTCGTTCCTGTACAGCGTCCACGTGCCGTTAGTTGTGGTCCAGTAGGGCTCCATGCCAACCACCGGAGGGCACGCAAACCCTATAAATAATTACAAAATTAAAAATATATTATATAGACATACATATATACTAACATATAACAAACTTTGAGTCATAATATCAGCTTACAACACAAAACGACGCTGCTGTTGAATCCTATACCCTATACCCAACACCATCCCACTGAATAACTTCATTCCACGCCGTACTTCGGTCACACCACACCAGACAATTTGACGGTGCATAACTACACAATCAAACACATTAAAACACAGAATTTCAACAGCATCTCAGCCACATAACACCCCACAACAGCTCCACAACCCGCAGCTTGCGACGTCACAGCCCCACAACCCACAGCCCCACAACACATGCGCATCCTGACAGACGTGACCGCGCCTTTGCTGGCCAGAGGCTGCCATATCATTGACGAGTTGGTCAGCAGGCACTGCAATAACATTGCTTCATTAACTCATTTTTAATACTTATCATAAAATAAATTGTTTGTAGTGTCTGGTATAATAAATTATAATTCAAAATCTCATGTGCCAAGATAAAATGTTTAATGGGATCGTACTTTTTCAGGGATAAGATATTAAGGACCAAAACTTGGAATGCAATCCATAAGAAAAATCGTATTTCGAAACAGGCTTGGAACTTGCATCGCCTTGAAGGCAAACTTTCATAAACCCAGCTTACGACACCGATCATTGTTGGAAATATTAAATAATATGTCAGGAATAACACTCAATGATTGCATGAAAGTAAAAATACTTTAATAAATCACCACGTGGTCCCCAAACGTGGTCCCCACACACGCACGTGGTCCCCACACTAGTACGTGGTCCCCACACGTGCACGTGGTCCCCACATGCGCACGTGGTCCCCACGCGCACACGTGGTCCCAACACGCGCACGTGGTCCACACACGCGCACGTGGTTCCCATGCGCACACGTGGTCCCCACGCGAGCACGTGGTCCCCACACGTGCACGTGGTCCCCATGCGCACACGTGGTCCCCACACGCGCACGTGGTCCCCACACACGCACGTGGTCCCCACATGCACAAGTAATCCCTACACGCACACGTGGTCCCCACACGCACACGTGGTCCCCACACGCGCCCGTGGTCCCCACAGCGCATGTGGTCCCCATTCACGCGCACGTGGTCCCCACTCACCCCGTCCTCCTCCGTGATGAGGGCGTCCCGGTCGGCCAGGTCCCCCCACCACCCGATGTTGGTCGTGTCCCGGTTGAAGCCCATGTGCACGTGGGGACATAGCCCGTCCCCTGGCGAATATGTGAATTAAATATATACATGCGATGATATAATAAACCTTTAAATATATATTAGAGCCTCATGCCATCGAACGAATCTGATAATGTTGCATGGCTTAATGCTATTTTTCAATTACCGGCATTGCCATGGTAGGTTCCCAAGGACTGGATGGGGTACTTGTCGATCACCGAGCCCAGGGTGAAGTTCCCGTAAGATGCAAAGTACTCCACAGTCCCCACCTGCAGGATCACCTGGGACGAGATAAAGTTTGTGTATTTTTTGCATGAAACTCATAAGAAATTATATGAATGATAATGTATCTTCAATTTTTCGGGTAAGATGCAGGGGTTTTATAATGCTACGATGATCGCATTAACGACGCCCGACAAGTAATGTAACATTTTTAATATTTGATATATAAATCTGAAAATTATTCCACGGTAAATTAGCTTATATTTGTCGATATATTCAGAATCAATCCCTAATATATTTGTAATATATCAATATCTAATGATTTACATTTCAGGTGCGTCAACATAATGCTTAGCTTACAGTTTAGTTTGTTCTATCCTCTCTAATTATTATTCGAAAAATACGAATATATAAAAAAATTATCAAATAGCTATGAAAATGCAAGTTTTCATCATTGTTGCAGTCATAATCTTTGCATTATAAATTCATTGCATTTTCTTAACATTTCCAATGTCTATGCATCTATCTGTAAGTTTTATATATTATTCACTGTATATAGCGCACAAAACATTGAAGACTATAACATTTGAGTACCTCCAGAACGTGAGGGCGGAGAGTTCCATTGAGTTCCCGGGTGAGGGCGCTTACGTGTCTCAGGCCTGGCGACGGGAAAACGCTTATGTATTGCATTGGCATGGGGTAATTTATAGAAATATAATGGAATGGTTAGGGTAATTTTGAGTAATATAAAGGTGAGTTTAAGATAATTTTGGCCAATATCAATGCGAAGTATGGAATATTTCTTAGCGATATTAGGGCAAAATATTAGATAACTTTTATCAATAACAAGGCAAAGAATTGGGTAGTTTTAGGCTATAACAAGGCGAGGTATAGGGTAATGTTAGCAATAACAAAGCGAGGTAGGGTCTAATTTGTAGAAAATATATCTAGGCGAGGTGTGGTCAAATTATTAGCAATATTAATGTGAGTTATTGTATAATTCTAATCGATATTAAGGCGAGGTGTGATATAATCTGTAACAATGTCAGTGCGAGGTATTGGTTCTTAGCAGTATTGAATCGAAGTATGATGTAAATCTTAACAATATCTGGGCGCTGTGTGGGATAATTTAGAACAAAATCAAGACGAACTACGGATAATTTTTAACAATATCAAAGCAGGGTATCGGCAATTCTATCGGAAAATCCATCACAAAAAAGAGAGTTCTGTAATTATCTTTGAAAAAATAATATAAATTGTTTGGTGCTAAGTGACAAATTTAAAGCAAGTTACGAAACGATTGTGGTGTTATGCTCGTACTTGGCAAAATCAAGGCAAATTTTGGTGTTATGCTCCTACATGGCAAAATCATGGCAAATTTTGGTGTTATGCTTCTACATGGCAAATCAAGGAAAATTTTGGTGTTATGCTCCTACATGGCAAAATCAAGGCAAATTTTGGTGTTATGCTTCTACATGGCAAAATCAAGGCAAATTTTGGTGTTATGCTCGTACTTGGCAAAGGCAATTCTTCAGAGGTGATTGTTCGTTGATAATCGTTTGGCATGGCACTTTGACAGGGTTTAGCATAGAAGATTTAAATGGTTTGGTATGGAAGATGAAAGTGGATTGGATTACAAGATTGAAATAGCTTGGCATAGAAGATCAAACCAATTTACTGAAAAATCTAAACAAATTGTCGATGTTGAAATTAATGCAACGTTTCAAAATTGGTAAATTGTAAAATGCGTTTATCCCTGTTTCGTCTGAAGTGAAATATTTCAACATTAGTAATCACTGAAAATGTTGTACAATTTACGGTTGACTTGCATTGATTATTAGCAAAAATAAAATAAATACGACTTTCTTCTGAGTTATGCTGGAATTTATTGTTATTAAGGTTGTTTTGAGTGATGCATAATTGTTTGTTAGTCATTATCTGAAGTCTGACTGCTAATTTATCAAGGTTTGGCGAGGTAAGACGCATTCTCAAATCTGTCAAGCACAGCCGTACGTACAATAGTAGTGGCTCTTAATTGTACGAATTACGGACTGTACTAATTGTGCAAGCCTTCTCTTAAATTCAACACGGAAAATTGCTGATAAACTCGTGTTACACTGCAATGCAATTCTAATGCGCTTTTCTAATTAACGTATGATATTGTTTTGTAACTACGATAAATGAATAGTACCTTTAGAGATGGTGGCTGTGTAATTTTTGAATGCGATCGAAATCTGATCACTCATCTGGTATACGATTTCTCATTTATTTTTAATTATATTTCATGAAATATTACAAATTATTCCTAGCATTTGCAGTTTAATTCATCATAAAATGTCGACTTTATGCCAGCATTTTCCTATCAGCTCATCTCACGGTGAAATTTATCGTCACATTTTTGCTGTTATAAGTTGAAAATTTCTCAATATATATCGCGGGTTCTTTATTAGCGTACTATACGCAATATCAAAATTCATTTATAAAGAAACTCTACTATGGATAAGTGAAAATAGATTTAAATATTAAAATTTAAATATTTAAAATTTAAATAAATAGATAAAAAATAATGAACAACAATGCATAGATATATAATCAACTCAAGTCGTGTGAACGTAGCATGTTCTCACCCATGAACAGCGTGCTTGGGTCGGTGGCATTGAAGCCAGTCTCCCACTGAGAGCCTGTGGCGTCAACGAAGTTCGAGGCGTTGTTGCTGAGAATTCTGGTCCAGTGGCCGCCCGCCGTGTCGTTCAGTGAAAGCTCGCAGTACACCTGGACAAGTTAAGGGGGGCAACATGTTAAGTTAAGAAACGTGATAAATTATTAAGTGCAAATTGAGCTATGTAACATATTAAGTAACAAGTTGAGTTGAGTAATATGTTATGTCAAGTAATAGGTTTATTCATGTAACATATTAAGTAACAACTTAAGTTAAGAAACAAGTTAAGTTTATTAACAAGTTAGGTTGAGTAACAAGTCAAGTAACAAAATAAGTTGAATAACAAATTAAGTTGAGTAACAAGTTAAGTTGAGTAACAAGTTAAAGGGACTTTTCCGGTAAAAAAATAACTTTCTTATTTACGGACTGATCGTTTTGAAACTTGGTACACATATGTAAAACAGAAATCGATGACTTTTTTGTTCGTATGAATTTTTCGTAAGAAATGAAAAAAACGTGAAATTGATAGAAAACGGCTAAAAAAGGGGGTACTGAAGAAATCTATCTCCTCATTCATTAAACATGCTAAGACATCGAGAGACGTATCATTCGATTTGTAACAAACATTTCTAAATTCCATCCGACCATTTTTTTAATTTCGAATTTGTTCGGGTGGGAGGGGGAATTTTCCCAAATTTTCCCCAAAATTGCAAATTTTCCCCTACCCTGACCCCCTTTTTCCAATATATAATCCAAACTATAACGAAACCGAAAAAAATAATCGGATGGTTTCTAGAAAGTTTTCTTACAAATCGAATGGTATATCTCTCATTGCTGTAGCTTGAAAATCATAGGAGGAGATAGATTTCTAAGGCGCAAATTTTAAATTTTTCAGGAGGGCCGAAAAACTGAAATTTGTCATCATTGAAGATATAAGTTTTACTTGCACTTCGACAGCTGTCGTGAACGAATAAATTAACGCACAAAAGTGGGTTTGAGCTCATTAAATGCGCATCTTTTGGACCTTTTAAATGTCTGGATTCATAACAAGATGAGCAAAGTAATATGACAAGTTAATACAAGTAACATAACATGGTTACTTCAGTAACATAATAAGTTGAAACACGCGCACTATACATTGTGTATTATACGCAATATACATTTACAATCACCTAGAAATTTCGCAATTGCATCAAGGCATGAATCAGTAACGGGAATTCCTGTTGCGTTCCGGAGCAAGGAATTACGTTTTATAAATTGTCGCAAACATATAGTGTTTTGAAATTAATTATGACTCAGCACAAAATTTTTGCCTACCCAAAATTATATATTGAATATTGCTTTCCTTAGATATAGCACCACATTACTACTGATTAACTATCATTCGTGAGCAGTGACTAGCGTTTAAATATAATTGGAGGGTTCACTAATATACGTAGTAGTTATCCATTTTACGGTCACTAATTACCGCCGTTTCATCCACTAGTTAGAAATGAATGTCGTCGAATGCTATAAGGCAGAGGATTGTTCGTTACATCCTAATGCACTTATAATTATAATTATCGATCATTAATAATTAGGAAAATAATCAATACCGACTACTTGAATAAAATTATTAACATTAATTAAACGTTATTCCAACGTCTTTTTTCTTGATGGAACGTTGTGGTCAAAGTAATCATTTCTATGCAATTCGTCACATTAATGCTGGAGCTAAATGCTGAAGTATTTTTTTTATGCTCGCTGCACCTTAATATGCTTTTTGAGCACTAAATCAATAGCGAACTCATACTAAAAATAAGAGAACTTATTAGCTGTAATCATCTATATGCAGCACGTCACATTTAGGAAGGAGTTAAATGGTAGATCCAATGTTCAGTTCACCATGCCTTAATGCATTCACCGAACACAGTAAGTCAAGACTGAATACTAATTATATTCAAGGTATAAGTAGTAATAATCATCATTCAGTTCGTCACCTTGACGCTGGCGTCGTATGTTTGGCCGGTAGGGACGACGATGTAGAAGTCAGACCTGTTGAAGCCGAGCTGTTCCACTTCATGACAGTCACGCGGTATCGGATTCGCTGCACCTTAATGCACTTTTCGAACACTAAATCAATACCGAACTCTTATTAAAAATAAGATAACTTATTAGCTGTAATCATCTCTAGGCAGCACGTCACATTTAGAAAGGAGTTAAATGCTTAACCCTAATGCATTCATCGAATAAAGACAGTCAATACCGAATACTAATTATATATAAGGTATAAGCAGTAACAATATAATCATTCAGTTCGTCACCTTGACGCTGGCGTCGTACGTTTGGCCGGTAGGGACGACGATGTAGAAGTCAGACCTGTTGAATCCGAGCTCTTCCACTTCGTGACAGTCACGCGGTATCGGACAAGCTGCGTGAGCGCAGTAATAACGTTTTTTAATTTAATAACGTAGTAATAACGTTTATTAACTGCATTCATATTATTAAATTATCGTTTATTTAGATAACCCTCACAATAATTATTAAATTTGCACGATTTTCAATTACAGTGACCAAAAACGGACAATGTATTTCAAAAAAATATAATTATGCTTCTTTTTTTGGGGGTATTTTAATTTTGCGATACTTTTTTTGTTGTCTGAATTCAGACAATGTTCATGATGAATTTCGAAAAGTTTTACGAAGAATTTAACGAACGACCAAGAACCCGGAAAATTAATCGATGAGGAAATCATACTACTATTCATTAATTGCAGAATCACTGAATTGAATGCATTGAAGTACATATACGAACATCGTCATTTCCATAAATTTAAGTTGTTTTACGTTCCAAAGTAATGGAGCATTGACAAAAACTTCAATGTCGAGCAACATGCTGTGGTTCAAGCACTGACTCATTGTTCATGTTCTAGTTGCTATAGAGGAACATTTGACGAGGTCTAGAGATTGTTGAAGTAATAACTGAAATAAATTCGCAGTTTTTCAGAATTAATTTCAAGCGATTTTTATTCCAAGCTTCACTAAAGACGGTCTAAAATGCTGTTGTTCGGATATTTCACAAAGACTGTTGGTTAATGACAACGTGGTGTGAACTAGTCGAGGCTTAGACGAGAGATATACACGATTATATTATAATCACTGGGAGCTATGGCGGGAACCAATGGAAAGCGTAAGGTCTCTACATGTGTAAATTGAAAATAATTTCCGATATGTTAAATTTGATGTGTGTTCCAAGCATTTAATTAATTAAATTATTAAAAGGTGAATTCTACGTAATCGAATTATTGTGTAAACTTCAGACGATGTTAAATAGAGTAGCCTAAAATTATAGCGTAAGCTACTGAGTCTAGATTAAAATTGCGTGAAACAATTCTGAAATAATGTTATTTAAATTTTAGATGATTACCTTGATCACACAGGTCCATGATGGGGGTCCATGTCCCAGCTCGGCACTGGGTCAGCCTTCTAGGTTCGCCCGAGAGCCACTTGAGGGTTTCATTCGCGCATTTTAGTGTAGCGAAATTGGTGTCTCTTTTGTCAACTACCATAGAGGTGTCGTCGGGCGAGAACGAAGAAGGAGTGCAAGCTCCTACATCGGTCATAGCTGAGGGAAAATGGCACGAATGCGTTAAGTAACAAATACCATTGAAAATAAATAATAACAACATATAAAAATAATTGACTAATTAATGAGAGACCCGATGAAATAGTAATGTGCTATATTGGATAAGAATATATAATGATTTGAAAAGCATGGTAAACTATCAATAAAATCAGATAAATTGATGAACTAGTAGGGACTACTTCAATGGTATGTACTGTACATTATTAGGAAAAATTATGTTCAGTGACTCGCGAACGTAGCGCAAGTGTAGTAATAAGTCAAATAGAAGTGTATAAGTTCAATAGTAATGAAATTGTTAGGCCTTTAGACTACTGACTGCAGGTGATGCCAGTGGTGTTCTGCCACCTGCCGTCCACACAGTACACCACGACGGCCGAGTCTCCGGTGTTGAACTGCTTGCTGTCGCAGGTATAGACGATCATCTCACCATCCACGGCCAACGTACTGGTCGCCGACGCCATTGTCGGCAGCGGGTCCGTGCATTTCGCGTCCGATACCTTGGCGCTGGCTGAGGAAATAAAAAGTTTACTCAAATGAGGAAAAAGTGATTAGAATTTCCCGAATCATGAATCGAAGAACAACGAGAAACATATATATCGATTCCCTTGCACTGTCTGACTATTGAATTTTGCCTATGGCAAGTATTAATGGCCGTTATAGTATATTGTCAAAATAGTTGATCGAGAAATATTTCGTGACTTGCAATGTAACAACGAATTTTTCTTTTGCTGAACAGTGGATTGATGTGACAACGTATGATGAACGGGCATCCCTTCTTTTTTATCAGTCAATTGTGTCAGGTACAATATAAATTGCCCGAAATCTAGTGCTTATAGGAAGATTTTAATTTTAAAATTGTTACCATAATTTAATGCAAATGTGGCATTAGAAAGCTATCAAGCAAAGATCGCTTATCGCAATTACGCGTTAATGAAGAGAACATGCACGATTTGGTTTCACTGAATCGCGGAGAATGTGCTACTTCAAAATCAAAAAGGCATTTTATTATGTACTGATACATATATAGGAGGGCAGTGCCACCTCAATATTAATTTGAAATACTGTGTAGATTGGATGTTGTATATATCCAGGGAAGTGGATTTCTTGAATATTCCGTTTAAAATTTCATTCCGTTATTAAACCACATTATTTTCTAGATTCCTATAGTTGATATTACGTACGCGGGTAAAAACAATGTCGTGAGTGAAAAAAACCGTAATGTACCAGCTTCAAAATTATATATCTAATTACTGGAGCACAGGGTCATTAAGATTAATGAGTGAAGTGTCAACTTTAAAAAAGAAAAAAAAATTAAAATAGCGTTATATATAAATTAATTTGAGTTTTCTTTAGTTTAAATTGTTTTTAATTGAGAATTAAACTTTAGATGCAATAAAAAAAATTAATTTCGCCACGGAGCTTGATGTGAAAATTTAGGCCTAGTTTGTGAATATTACATCAGTCAAAAGTACATCACGTGTCGAAATAAACGCACTGCGTTGACTCACAATTAGATGCCCCAATTTATGTGACTAGATTTTATCGCCGACATTAAAAAGATATCAATTTTTTCAATTTGAATGTCAAAAAATAACATTTTCTGTCCCTCACCGAGCACTGAACATTTGACCTCAGGTTGTTTCAATGATTCTGGCCAGCTGCAAACTTTTGCTATTTACGCAGGTAAAAGTCTTGATTTAAAAGAATAATTATAATTGTATTTTTCAGATAAACTAACTTCCAAACACACTTAGTCATTCATTTTAATGGTCTCGGGCACGAACGAATGAATAATTGTAAATCTTTAATCTTCCCTGAATATCAAGTCTATTTAATATTGAAGCAATGGAATGAAAAATTATTATAAAAATCAACAATATGCACATGAATATATCGCAAACTTAATGCCAATAATCATAACTTAGAAAAAGTTGATTATTATAATGAAATACGGGCTCCACTAACATGTCAGCTGCCACCGTGCATCGATTAGGTCGATCCGAAATCTCTATTCCATGTGGCATGGTATGTGCCATGTGGCATGGTATGTGCCATGTGGCACGGTATGTGCCACAACTTCACGCGTCAAGTGGCATGTTAACGACAGAACGCTTCGCCTCATGTATCACGCGACATGCCACAGCCCCCTGTACCATTTGGCATTATACATGCCACATCTTTCCACGCCACATTTCACCCAGCATGCCACAATAACACACAGTGAACACAACCCTCATTACTCATTCGCTCATGCCACTTAGTCTCACGCGACGACTTCGTTTCAAACGGAGGTGGGTTGAGGCTGGGGGGACACGACTGGTATCATAGATACGCGTGTTTATAATGTCACGTCTCCAGGTGACCGAGAGCTTTGCACTGCTCTGCTTACAAAGCAGCGATGAAATTGTCGTTCTTGATGCCGATTTGGTAGCGTTATTCGCCACAAGGTTATTTGACCAGATCTTTAAATTGGAGAGCTCGTAATGCATGGATTCGAATTTCTTGATTTGGAACAAAAAATCCATTGGCTTTTAATCAGTTCTAGATTTATGCCCGTGATGAAAATCTATCGTATATGAATTTGAATTGGAACCTATGATGACATGAAACAATTGAAGGTTTGGGTAACGATGTTAATTTTTGCTATTAATGAGCTATTCCTCATTAAATAAGTTATATAATTGAATACATGAAGTATCAACCTCGCCTTCTGTTGGAAAACGTTTTGAGTCACACACAGTTGAATTAAGGTGAAGTGAGCAACACTGACCATAATTGCATGGTTTCGCACTGTAAGTCTCCGCCGAATGATAGGAATTTCAAAAGAAAATACTAATTCAATGTCAGGTAAGTCATTCCTACAAATACTCAATAAGAGGAAATTGATAGACATTAAAATAATTAATTAAAACGTCACCCGCTGAACACACTCTGCTTATGGTTTCATAGCTTTAATTTATTTTCGTAGCGAGTACTTCTTCCAAGTTTAAAATAGAATACATGATAAATGCTGGTTGCCTCCTGAAAAATGATGGTTGCAACGGGTATCGATTCTGGTACAGAACCAATAATATATTTGTAAATGAAATTGAGAAGAATATTTTCATAATTCCTGAGAAGTCTTCTAGAGAATATAATTTATCCTAAGGAAATGTTGCTCTACGCTTGAGATGAATGAATTTCATCTTTTGAAAAGATTTTGACATAATTTATGCAGCAATTGAACGTAAGTTCTTTACCGTTAGATATTTGCCCAGTCCGCTATTCACCGTTAGCATGTTACCGTTAGCTATTCCATGACCTGCAGGCGACGATCAGTACCTTCAACTTTTGCAATCCATGATCAACTTCGCTGCTAGGCTCAGTGTGGGGCTTGGACACAGCATTCCAGTCGCTGATTTTGCCACTCACTGGTTACGATGGTTAGAGTGATGGACTCGAGGGTTAGAGTGATTATAATGGAGTGGTTAGAGTGCCGGCACTCGAGGGCTAGAGAGATGTCACTCAAGAGTTAGAGCGCCGGCAATCAAGGGTTAGTGTGCCGGCACTCAGGGGTTAGAGTGATTGCACTCGAGGTTTAGATGCCGGCACTCGAGAGCTAGAGAGCCGGCACTCTAAGGTTGGCTGGAATGCCTTCTATTTATAATTTTAAAGCAAAAAATGCGAAAAAATATATTATATTGTTGTCCTTTTGACCTAATAGTTACGTAATCGACCATCTCGGCAACAATCTTAGTTTTTGTTAGGTACTCACAACCCTACACTATGTTGTTAGGTACCCATAACCCTACACAGGCTACACTGTGTTGTTAGGTACTCACAACCCTACACTATGTTATTAGGTACTCATAACCCTACACAGGCTACACTGTGTTGTTAGGTACTCACAACCCTACACTATGTTGTTAGGTACTCACAACCCTACACTATGTTGTTAGGTACTCAACCCTACACTATGTTGTTAAGTACTCACAACCCTACTCTATGTTGTTAGGTACTCACAACCCTACACTATGTTGTTAAGTACTCACAACCCATCACGTTTTGCCACCCACTCATCAGGCCGTGGAACGCATATTGTTGAGTAGGGAATCGATAATTGGCAACTTTATGTCACCATTACTCATGATCGATATGATGGCATGGTCCCTGAAATCATTCTCACTCAATTCATGCCTATGCCTTTCCACAATGTGAAAAATGACCATAATTGAGGTCAGAACGAGGGCCGTGCTTTAGAACTGAAAAATATGTTTCTAGTTATAAGAGTTTGAATGGCACAGCAATAAATACATTTCTGACGTTATTTGATTGATTTACATGACAATAAAAATGTTTACGTGGATACTTAGTTGAGTGACATGACAATAAGCATGATTACGTGGATATTTAGTTGAGTGAAATGATAAAGAATAAATTTCTGGTGATATTTGTTTGAGTGACATGACAATGAGAACATTTCTTGTGATATTTTATTAAGCGGCAAGCCAAGTCTACATTGGTCTCTAAAGAACGAACTTTATCATGCGAACAAGTTTTTCAAATCACCTCGAACAGCGAAGCGAAAAAATTTTGAATAAGCGAATTTTTTGCCCTCTATTTAGTGTGAAATGATGATCACTCGAAAAAGTTCGGTTTCTGGGTACGAGTCATGATGCTTCTTGTCGTGAAGTTTCTAGGGTAGTCTTCATATGTTCATAGTATTCCGTACCGTAGTGAATTCCGGTAAGTTACTATGATCGAAAAGTATCGACTATCGGCAGAACTGGCTCGACTCTTGCAATGTTAACTACTATTCTCATTCTCTGTAAGTATCCAGCAATTTGCCGCTCTACGTTTGACATTTCATGTATGAATATATCCACTTATTTCGTTCTTTGTATTTTATATAGAGGTGGTATCTTGTTTCAGAATATTGCGTTCTTGTGGATTAAAGCTTTTAATGAGTCGCTTCGAGTTCGGCTTACAATACTTCTCGAATAAACTTATGCAAAATATTGGCACGTTGAAATGCTCGCTTAGGGAAAATGCAGTATAAAAGTAAATTTTAAAAAGACCAAAAATATTGCCAATAGCATCCGTGTGGGCGACTCAGTTTCAAGCGTTCAAACTAAGTTCGATAAATTTTAACGTGTTGAATCAATAAGCTTTGCTGATTATCTTTCTCAGTTCCTGCGTGTATATGACTATATAAAAGATGTAATTTGGGGTATTATTAACATGAGAATAAATGCATCATAGCATATTTACGCAATGAAAATGCATACGGTGAAGCCATGCGTATTTTTAGATATTCATCAATATGAACGCTGAAGTGATTAATATATAGGAGCGAGTGAAGTTTAAAACGCAACAAATTCTAACAAAATATTTCGCAATCAGTCAACGCGATGCGCTGTTGAAATAAAAAACTTGCAATGCATCCTCGAATTTTAATCAAAATTTTCCCTGACTTTTGATACCGATACGCAGTTCATTGAATGGTGGGCTGTTCCTTGTGCGGCGACT